GTTTTTCCCTCATCCTCCCCCAACGTGGTCACCAGTCAGAGCACATGTCTGATCGTGTATTCCCATTGAGTCTTAGTCTTGGAAGGCGGTTTGCCATGAGGGGACCTAACCACTTGCCTTGATGGCTCCTGGGCGAGCAACTTGCTTGTTCTTGTAGTAATCAGTTGGACTGCTGTTATTGTTTTGTGTTTTCCCTGTTGGTCTTTCTTTCAAGAAGTGTCTTCTGTTCTTCTAGCCACTCAAGGCTGATCTGCTCGTCTTTTCAAGTGGAGATTTCCCACCTTAGAAGATTCTGGATGGGGTTCAGGATTCCACCTATGGTCTTATGCAATGCAGAGGCTCCACAGAAAGCCTCCTTCATGGGCACACTGTAGCTCCATTTTACGTTTTCCAATCAGTTATAGGCAGAAGACCGACTTTCATGCTTTCTATGGTGATATTTCTGGCTATTCCTTTCTCTCCCCTTCCAGTGTCTATTTAATAATATAATGCAAGGAAAACCAAGATTTAAAAGACAGCCAAGCATCTTAACATTGTTTCCCCCATTTTGCCCATTCCAACCATGCGTCAAGGCAATGTAAAAACTTTTTAACGCCCCCTCATTTGTATGTTCTACATTTTGTGTATTATTTATTTGTTGATAGGCACTTAGATTTTTTTTTTAATGCCACACTTTACTCTTTGGTTGTTGTTAAGTGTTGTAGAGTCGTTTTGACTAATAGGAACCCAGTGTAGGGTTTCTGAGGCTTTACATGTTTTTTATAGGAGCAGAAAGCTTCACCTTTCTCCCTGCAGATCAGCTGGTGAGCTCAAGCTGCCTTCATTGTTGTTTGCAGTCTAGTGCTTATTTTGTGTGCCAGTCTGTTACTTTGCTAAAAGGGGACCTCAGAGAATAGTTTTGGTTCAATGTATAAAGAGTATCTTCGAGTAATAGTCTCTGGGAATCTAATTTCAACTGATCCAGTAAGTCTGGACTTAAAAAAAAATTGGTATTCTGTTCTATGTTTGTCTGTCAATCTGTCAGGATCCATTAGCTGTGAACCTGATCAGAAAATTCAATAGTTGGTAGCTGGGCAGAATCTAGTTCTTTTGGTCTCTGGGTAGGTCAGGCCAAGGTTCGTGGAGGCTGTTAGTCCTGTAGACTAATTTCTTCTCTGAGACTTTAGTTTCCTTCTTTCTCTTTTGCTGCTGATGAGTAGAGACCCAGAGCTGTGTCTTAGATGACTGCTCAGGAGCTTTAACCATCCCAGACACTAACTACTCACCTCACTAGGGTGCAGAACATGAGCTTTATGAACTGTTGTGACAATGGTTTTGCCCAATTAGACTAAGGTTGTGACCAGTTTTTTTTAAAAAATCACACAATAGTCATAGAGGTAGCACTACAGATTTTTTTTTTTTTTTTTTTTAAGTTTAATTTTCAATTCTTAATCTGAAAAATAATAGTGATTTTCAGAGCTGAGTCATGCTCTGGGATAAGCTATTGTATAGTTGTTTTTGTTAAGTGTTGTCAAGTTGGTTCTGACTCATAGCAAGCCAGAATAGACTTTTCAAGGCTATAAATCTTTCTGGGAGCAGAATGCTTCATCTTTCTCCTACAGAGCGGCTGGTGGGCTCAAACTGCTGGTCTTGTGGTTTGCAGTCCAGTGCTTATCCTACATAGCCACCTGATCCCTAAGCTATTGCATGCTAGCCTGCTTTTCAAATCATCTTTAAAACCTAGAAATTTATATTTGTGCTTACTACTATATCTTGCTTTAAGACAGCAGCACATTCTTATGTGACTCTGTTTTCTCAATTGTGCAGAAAAAAAAATACCTGAAAAGATGGAAATTCATTTGAATTGATTAAACATTATTCTTTCTATGATTCTTAATGTCCTTTTTTACTCTTAATTTTTCATTAGACAAAATAAATATGCTACCCTAAAATTTTCTCAGAGATGCTTAAAACAGGGAACTTCATGGTAAAACCTTAAAATCATTGATACTGAGTGCCTGACTTGCTCATTAAGTAGTCTGTTCCCCGGAGGATATCTTTCTTATTTGCCCTGACATTAATACTTTGATTGATTCTGAGACCATTTTCTGAGACTGAATATTGATGCCAAGTTTTAAGGGCATTTTGGAAGTGTTTGGTTGCTTTGAAAACTTTCTGGAAACCACTCAGTAAATATGACTTAAGAGCTTTGCAACAAATGTTGCTGCTGTTGTTCAGGCCTTGATGTTGTTACTGTGAAGTGCCATCGAGTCAGTTCGGACTCATAGTGTATATTTTATAATGGTATTCAAGGGAAATCAAGATTCAAAAGACAGCCAAGCATCTTAACCTTATTTTCCCCCTTTGCCCATTCCAACCATGTCTCAATCCCTGTATCCCAGAGCCGTGTTGTTCCAAGGTTGTGCATACATCATTATTTATCTCTGTCCCACTTAGCCCATGCAAACCTGCTTAATTGTTTTCCCATCCGCTTTGTTCCTCCAGTCCCCTCCCCCTTCTTGTGTATTGCCCCCCTCCCTGAATGGACTAGATTTTAAATTTACTTTGTTGTTGCCGTTACTGAGTTTTAATAATCTCAGCATTTATGCTGATCCTGAGGCTAGTCCAAACTCAAAACCTGAGTCTACTTGCTGCTAGATCTGTTCATTCTGCCCTTCTGCTGGTCCTTTTCTAATCTTCGTTTAAGTGCTTTTACTATGGATAAAAATAATAAAGACTCAGTAAACTTAAAGCATTAGTTAGTTTTTTTTTTTTTCTGAGCAGTTATTCTAAATGCAACTAGAGAGATCATTTTGATTCCAGGAAAAGCAAATGACTCCAAGAAGCTAGGTACAGTGAGACTTGTTAAAAGAAACCAAACCCAACTAAACCCACTGCTGTGCAGTTGATTTTGACGTATAGCAACTCAATAGGACAGAGCAGATTTGCTCCTTAGGGCTCGCGAGGATGTAAGTCTTTAGAGGAGCAGACAGCAACGTAGAGTTTCTTAGGTGGCAACGGGTAGCCTTATCTTTTTTCCGCCAAACTGCTAGTGGGTTTGAACTGTCAACCCTGTGGCTAGCAGTCCAGTGCTTATCCTACAGCACCACCAGGGCTCCTTCTTAGAGAGTTATTGTTAAGTGCCTTCAAGTTAGTTCTGATTCATGTTGACCCTGTATAGGGTTTATAAGGAGCGGCTGGTCATTTGAACCACCAACTTTGTGGTTGCCAGTCCAGTGGTGATCCTAGAGCGCCACACTAGGGTTCCTCTTAAAAATAAGACTTTTACCATTGTCTAATCTTGATTATTAACCAAGCCCTCTTTCCCCCTTTTTACTAAGATCAGTTCACAAGATGGTCTCTTCCCTTTCACCCAACCATATATTTTGAAATTAAAATTTAATAAGCCTGGGTGAAAGAAAAGTCACTAAGAGATTGTATCTGCAAAAATAAGATGTCATCTGAAGACTGAGTGAAGCTAGGGCAACAGGAATGGCAGACACTCTGGTAACATTGACACTGTTGGGGAAATATAATTAAAAAATAAGATATTCCAACTCAGAAGACCTCTCTAGAAAGATAGGAGACAAAGAAAACAGCATTATTATTGAGTGCATATTAAATCAGAATCTGATGCTTCTTGCTAAAGAGATTTCAAAGACAGAAGAGAATCTTCCTCTAAGTGAACACAGCCCATTGCATTCATATTTTCATGAACAATTTTTAGTATCTTTTTGGCCAGAGAATTTCATTTTGCAATTTGGAGTCCGGTGCCACCTCTGAACAAAATTCACCTCGTCTTCTTCCAGGAAGCTGGAATGATTATATTTCAAAAGAAATGTCTTCCAAATATCGGAGGAAATAAAAATTTCAAAGAGACAGGTTTTCTGAAGTGAAAGCTGAAAAACAGAGGGGAAGGGAAGTCTCTTCCCTTATGTTCACAACAAGAATTAAAGCCTTATTTTTAATTCGTATTTGTCCTTTCAGCGCCTTGGAAACCTGTATTTCATAAAAGTGTCAGCATTGTTCTAGACAGGCCAGCAGTGGCCACAATCGTGTCCTGCCTTACCAAGTTGACCTTCACCTGGTGGGAGTCCGTAGAATAAACAAATAATAGTCAAGCAAACAATGTGTTTAGTGGTCAAAAGTCTCTGGGGCTAAATAAAGTGGGCAAAAGGGCTGGAGAGAACAGGGTAGGCAGCTGTCTTATATTTAAGCAAAGGGGGAAGGCTATAAGGGAGACTGGAAGGCATTGAGGGAGTGCCTGAGGTAGGACTGCTTGGCCTGTGGTAGTATTACCTTTAATAAGTCTTCAAACCCTAGAGCGGCCGAGACAACTGTGGCTCTGCAGAATAAGCTCTGGACTGCTAACTGCACAGTCAGCAGTTCAAACTCTCCAGGCACTTCTAGGAAACCCTGTACAGGTTGAAACCAACTCGATGGCACTTAACAACAACAACAACATACAGTTATTTGGAGTCTTGGCGTGGTGCTGTTGGATCAGCACTGGGCTGCTAACCAAAAGGTCTGGGGTTCAAACCCACCAACCAATCCTTGAAAGCCCTGTATAGGGTCACTGTGAGTTGGAATGAACTGAATCGATGGCATCGGTATTTCAAGTCCTCTTCACTTTCAGCAAAGATCATTGTTGTTAAGTGCCATCAAGTTGGTTCTGACCTGTATAGGGTTTCTGAGGAGTGGCTGGTGGGTTTGAATGACTGGGCTTATGGTTAGCAGTCTAGTGCTTACCCAACAGAGCCATACCAGGGCTCCCAGCAGCAAGTATTTCAAGTCCTCGTCACTTTCAGCAAAGAATGTTGTTTTTAAGTGCCATCAAGTCAGTTCTGATTCATAGTGACCCTGTGTAGGGTTTCCAAGGAGTGGCTGTTGGGTTTGGCCTTGCAGTTCACACTGACTGTGGTCTAGTTCTTATTCTACAGTGCCACCCCAGGACTCCAGCAAAGATTACAACCTGGTGGTGGTGGTGGTGGTGCTATGGAGTTGGTTCTGACTCATAGTGACCCTGCATAGGGTTTCTGAGGCTGTAAATCTTTATGGGAATGGTTGGTAGTTGCAAACTGCTAATCTTGAGGCTAGCAGCCTGACTCGTAACCGCTTTGCTACTAGAGCTCCTGGGACAGTTTGACTCTTGTCATATAGACTTACTATGCGTCAGAATTGACCTCACACAACAGCAACACTAGACCTGCTAACTTTGAGATGTGCATTTTTCCTTGTAATGAAGACAATCTAAGTCTAGAGTTCAAGGAAGATCTGAGGATGGTGTTGAAGATTTAACTTCAGAAACATAAGCTTAATTGTACGGAAGGCTTTCATATACTACTAATATTGCAACCCAAAAGATTGTTGGAAGGAGAAATGGCATCCACACCACATTTTTACCTTTTTATATATAATTAATATGGTGTCTCTTTCATCAGATATTATTTGGTTCTTGCTTAGTTCTTTCTCTTCTCCTTCCTTGCACATCATTTTCTCTTCTTTAATTGCATGCCTTTTCTATTAGAATACTGTAGTTAGTTATCTGGTCACTGGAATGCCTGGGTGGGTTTCAGGAGTACAGTGGTCATTATCATTTTGGCCTTGCCTCCTGGTTTTCTTTGCCTCGGGCTGAAATAACTTTTTTTTATTGTTAGAACATTTTAGCTCTGTTGCTTGAACACTTTCCAGTTTTGTGAAAACATTAAGCCAAGTGGCTTGCTCTGTGAAAGCTTGTAAGACTGTGGTTACAAAGAGCAATTGAATCTTAAAGGCAAATGTCAGTGATTCAGTTCCTTCTCCCTATTGTTGTCCTGTCCTCATCACTTAGAGTTTATAAGCACTCTTTCTTTTGTTCTGAACAACTGGTATAGATTGCAGCCATCACTTATTTCTCCTTTCCCTTTATTAATATTTATCATAAACTTGAAAGCACATGAATCCCGTCCATTAGTTTTGCTGGTTCCATTACATTTTTTACTCTGTCTAACTGCTTTTATATTCTACTTTTCAAAAAATACCAGATTCTCTCTTACTATTGCTCTTATTTTGGAAGAGCAGTGCTATGATAGAGCTTCATTTACTGTAGGTCCAAGGAGGAAAACACTGAGGTCAGCTGCTCTTTCTCAGGGAAGCTGTTGACAGCACTTGGAATTGGAGACTGCGGCACCCCAAACACTGTTTACAGGGAAAACATACAGAGGACCCCAGAAAGGAACCTCTTCTTAATACTGCCAAAACCTGTCCCAAGGTAGTTTAGGCTCAGAATGGAGCAGCTAGAATAAAGTCATACTTGAGGCTTACACCAATTATTTTGAGTAGAGAAATACACTTCAGTCAGACATGGAATGCTTGCAGTGTTTAGAGAAATTCTAACCTCGAAGCAAGGAACAGGCACATTGACCAGAACCTTGAAACTTCAATAGAGCATTTGTTGTTGTTGTTGTTGTTGTTATGTGCCGTGGAGTCAGTTCTGACTCATAGCGACCCCGTACAGGGTTACCGAAGCAATAGAGCATAATGATTACTAAAATCGTATGTCTTCTGGAATACATTATTTTATAAGCAGCCGAGAGCCCTGTAGTAGTTAGTACCTGAAGGGTAATAAATCTCATCAGAATTGTGTACTTCATGGGCCTGTCTTTTCTCCTCCCCTCTTACCTACTTTCTGGAGAAACAGGACCGCCGGAACGTCGACTAACAAGCTCTGGTACGCCTGTCTGGCCCTGGTGACCCTCATCATGTATTCCATTACCGCGGGAGGCTTGATTTTGATGGTAGTATTTTATACACAGAGAGAAGGCTGCATGGAAAACAAAATTCTCCTTGGAGTAAATGGAGGTCTGTGCCTTCTGATCTCATTGGTGGCCATCTCACCCTGTGTCCAAAACCGTAAGTATGGTTGCCTACTTCTTAACTTACGTTCATTTTTCTAAGTATTTTTGAGCAAACCCAATGGATTTCTCTTTGGAACAAAGGGTAGGCCAGCAGTAAAAGGAAAGGTGGGGCTCTTGTAGTTTCAGGCTCTTCTTCTCTTTTTCATCTCTCAGTTTACCCGAAAAACCAAATCTACTGACATTGAGGTAGTTGAGACTCATAGTGATATGGGAGACAGCATAGAACTTTCTCATATGGTTTCCAAGGCTGTCGTATGTTGGGGAGCTGACTGTATGTCGAGAGAGACTGATAACTGACACTGAGAAGGTTTGACTCAAGCTAAAAGAAAATGGAAAGAGCTCTGGTAGTGTAGTGGTTACGAATTGGGCTGCCAACCTCACAGTCAGCAGTTCGAAACTACCAGCTGTTCCATAGGAGAAAGATGAGGCTTTCTGCTCCCATAAAGATTTACAGCTTTGGAAACCCTGTACAGGGTCACTATGAGTTGGAATTGACTCCACCGCACATAACCACCACCACCAATCAAAACAAAATGGAACCTGAGCAGCTGTCTTATTGCAATAGCTATGGTTACAGTCCAGCCTCACTCTCTAACTGCATTCCAAAGTGGTTTGGCCATTCAACAGTTGGTACACCTTTTGCTTTGTCTCATTAGTTGCAATTAACGCTCTTCCCGTCTCTGTGGGTTCTCTGTGTCCATTGGTCCTTCTTTCTTCCTGCCCCTTTCTGCCTTTTTGGTTAATTATTTTGTGGAATACAATCCTCACAGGTATTACTGTTCGTTCTATCGGCCTGACTGACTCCAAAGTGGTCCCCAGGGGCAGGCTCAGATCCAGGTGGGAAGGGTATCTAAGGGTCACAGCCTCAGGGGTTCTACCTGCCACACCAGTAAGTGTGGTCTTTGTTTTATGATTTTGATATTTGTTCTCCATTTTTCTCCCATTCTGCCCAGGGCCTTCTGTGGTCCCTGTCAGAGAGGTTGGTGGTGGTAGCCAGGCAACATGTAATTCTTCTGGTCTCTGGGTAGTGGAGGCTGTGGTTTGTATGGTCCTTTTAGTCATTTGGATTTGATTTTTTTCACTGGTTTTTAGTAAAAAAGGGGAAAGACCAACAATTGTTTCTTAGATAGCTGCTTTTAAGACACCACAGTAGGTTTAAGAACATAGTCTTTGTGGACTATGTTATGCCAGTTGGCCTAGATGGGAACCCCCAAGACTGTGCTCCTAAGTCCCCAAGTCCAGTGACTCAAAGTGTTTGGTTATAGCTAACATGTTTTCATAACTTTGTCCCCTATATGCTGTCCTACATACATGGATATATTTGCAGCACATAAAAATACATATGCAGAACTATTCTCTGCCAAGTCTATACATGCTCATGGGTGTGATCCTGTTAGATTTTCCATACCTGTTCAGCTTGCCTGTCTGCCTATGTAACCACTCATAGATTCTAGTTGGGTTTTGCTATTATTACAGAATCATGTATGTAAAAGTGTATCTTTGTTGTCTGTAATGCTTGCGGACCATTCGATGTCTTTCTTTGCCCTAGGTATAATGTGTTGTCAAGAGACAGTGGGATTTGAAGGTGCTTTGGAAAGGAGCCCTGGTAGCACAGTGTTAAGCACCTGGTTGCTAACGTTTCAAACCCACAAACCGCTTAGTGGGAGAAAAATATGGTAGTTTGAAACTATATAACCTTGGAAAGCCTTTGGGCAGTTCTATTCTATCCTATAGCAGTGATCATGGTGAGTTAGACTCAGCTCGACAGCAGTGGGTTTGCCTGATGTTTTTTGAAAGCAAAGATGTGAATTTTCATTTATTACCTACTTTGGTGTAAGAAAGTGTGCTGTTTTGGGGATTATAGAGACGGAGGCCCTGTAGATATCTTATTCTGCTGAAGATGAACATGCACATGACATTCAGGTTTTTAGGCAGGAAAAGGAAAATATTAGCAGTGACCATGTAGTTGGAGTCCTGGTGTGGCACGGTCATAGTATAAGCGCTGAACTGTTAACTGTATGCGTGGAGGGTTCAAACCCTATCTGTGGCTCCTCAGAAAGTCTGTTATACAGGGTTACTGTGAGCTGGTACTGAGTCAACAGCACTTAACAATAACACCAATATAATTAAATTATAAATCCATAATGTTAATGGAAATGGTGTTTGTATGAAAGATAATAATCTTCAAAACAAAGGAGTTTAGTGAGAAGAGTGGCCTTTTAAAAATATTTCTTTAGTGTCTGGCTTAATAGAAGACAGATGTATTCTCACATTTGTTTCTACATTCAATATTGTGATATGTTTCTTGATTAAATTGTATGAAGAAAATCCAAGGTTGGCTATGTGTCGGAATCAACTCAAGAACATTTATAACTAAGACATAACGTGCAGCGGAAATGAACACGGGGGTGGGGGGAGGGGGTGTGCAGTTTTCAAAAACTGTACAGTGTATACATTTGTGTGAAAATATGGGTGTGTCCCCCTACCCCTGAATCCTGCAAACATAAAGTGATTTTTAAAAGGTAACAAATATTGAATAATTTAAAGTTAGGCTTTTCTATACCAAAATTTTCAAATCTATTATTAAATTTGAGAGGAATTGTGTGCTCGAGTCAGTTCAGACGCATAACGATCCTGTGTTGGATTTCTAAGAGCCAGCTGGTGGGTTTGAATCTTGTGGTTACCAGGCCAGTGCTTATCCTCCAGCGCCACACCAGGGCTCAAAATGGAGAGTATATTCTTCTAATTACTTTAATTGATCAACTAAGAATTTCTAAAAACAAATGACTAATATTCACAATAAAGTATCCTTTGGGTTAAAACCTACCTTTTGAAATAAGTATAATATTTTGAGTATTATATTTAGTTTAGCATCACTAGTCTTATTCTCATGCTAAAAGGGAACATGTTATAGAAAAGTTTACTTCCATTCTTTATTGGCAATTCTGGAGACCCTGGGTGACTCAAATGGTTAAACTCTTGACTGCTAACCAAAAGGTGTGAATCTACCCAGAACCTCCTTGGATCACATACCTGAAAAATCTACTTCTGAAAGGTTACAGCTGTTGAAAACCCTATAGAGTGTCATTCTGCTCTGAAACACATGGAGTTCCCTTGGATCAGAATCGACTTGATGGCAACTAATTTAGTTTGGATTGCATTGGCAATGATAAATTAATAATGATGATTCTGGAAACAAATTGGATCAGAGGGAAGACTGGATAAAATTGGATCCTTTCATGTTAGCAGTTTGAAATTTTCACCAGAAAGAGAAATCCCATCATACTTTTATATACCCTGTCACTCATAAGGACCCGAACACTTGGTTTATTTTAAATGAAACTTTGAAGCCCTTTTCCTCATGGATGTTGAGCCTCCTAGCTGCTTCTTTATCTTGGACCAGTTCTGATATTTGTTCAGTATTCCCCAGGGTTTTGTCTTTGGACCAATAATAGCTCCCCCCGCCCCCTTGCCACAGACTGTGTAAGTGTCTTGTAGAAAGAGGAATCAATGCTATGTGAAATCTGTCCCTTGTGCTCTGATCAAGAAAGATGTCAGTATTTTCTGATCTTGTGATTAACAACTAATGCCATGAACCTCATGGGGACCAGGCATTATGTTTCAATAAAACTGTATGCTTAAGAAGGTTTTGCAGGTGTTGATAACATTTTAGAATTAATAGTGTTAGATTCTGTGTATGCTTTTCTCCCAAATTCTTTTTAGATTTATCTGAGAAATACCATTATGTATCTCCCCTCTCCCCCCACCTTAAAAGGCTCAAGTTTAAGGAGTGCCAATGGCTTGGGGTGTCTGATTTGTCTTTGAGGCACATGCTTTCTCAACATCCAAATGTCTCTTGTGTTTTACAGGACAGCCACACTCTGGACTGTTGCAGTCTGGGCTCATAAGCTGCTATGTCACATACCTCACTTTTTCAGCTCTATCCAGCAAACCTGTTGTAGAATTTGGTAAGCTTCCCGTGTCAGAGAGCATGTGTTTGTGGTGACCATTCTCATTTGTGGAAAAAGGAATATGTATCTCTACAAGTTATTGTTTAAACATTGGAGGTATAGTAAATGAAAATAGATGATCAGAGTGTTTCATTAAAGTCTTTAACTTGGGCTGTGGCAATGAAAATTCCTTCTTTGGAGTGAGTTTTCCCAGTGGATAGGAAAGAGCGATGAGCAGAGATGGTCTGTTGTGTTTATTTTAGGCTTGATCTGTGTTTATAAAGGAGCAGTTTTGTTTTGCTATGTTTTTAAGAAGTTTGTATCTTCAGGTGATCATTTTTCTGACTGTTACAGAAAAAGTGGAAAGAACGTGGGAGTTGGAAGTAGGAGACAGGGTTTGAGCCCAAAGCCACTGTTGGAATCGATGTGATCTTGAATAACATTTGTTTACAGAGACAACGGAAGACTAGTGGTTCGGTGCCTGGGTTTATAGCTTAGTTTTGCCACATAAGTAACTTGTGCAAAGTTACGTTTCTATACATACATGCCTCATCTTTAAGAATTTTCATTTTAATAAGATAAATATTAAGGTACCAGTGAGTGAGTGAATGAGTGTATGCTGAAAACAATGCCTGGTATAGACTAGTTGTTATATAAGAAACTCTCTGTCATCCCATTGTTTCTGACTCAAAGCAACCCTATACAGGATTTCTAGGACTACACATCTTTAATAATGTACACTACACTATATCAGATAGTCTCATCTCTCTCCTAAGGAGAGCTGATAGCTTTGAAATGCCAACTTTGCTCTTAGCCCAATTCTAACACAGCTTCATCAGGACTCCTTCACTATATAAGAGTTAGCTATTGTTATTTTTATATGGAATTCTGGTGTGGCGCTGTGGGCTAATGCACTGGATTGCAAAGTCGAGTGAACCACAGGTTGGTGGTTCAAGCCCACCAGCCGCTCCTTGGAAACCCTATACAGGGTCACTATGGGTCGGAACCAACTCGGTGGCACTTAACAACAACAACAAATTACTGTTATGAGGCAGTTGTGATGGTTCTTTGAGAAAAGTTTTTAAACTATAAAAACACACAAGAAATTATTATGAGCCCCAGAGCCTCATAAATAAGACTAAATTTTCTAATTTTGAGTTTTAAATTCTTTATATTTCATCATCTTTTTCTTTTTTGTAACTGAGTCCTGATGTGGCACTGTTGGAAAAGTACTGGACTGCTAACCACAGCTAACTGCAAGGTTGGTAGTTCAAACTCACCATCTGCTTCTCAGAAATACTATTTAGGGTAGCAGTGAATTGCAACGGACTCAACGGCATTTAACAACAACAACATATATAAATTTGTGTATATTTGGGCATGAAGTCCTTGAATGGTGCAAATAATGTTCTTGGCTGCTAACCAAAGGTTAGAGGTTCAAGTCTGAGGAACCTCACAAGAAAGGCTTGGTGATCCATTTCTGAAAAAATCAACCATTGAAAACACTGTAGACACAGTTGTACTCTGACACACATGGTGTTGCCCTGAGTTGGAGCTGGCTTATTTTGGATTATTTGTATACAGAAAGTTAAATAAGCATAGTCTCTTCTCTGGAATGAAATCAAATTTGGTTAGTGCAATTTTCTCCTTTTTAAATTTACAAAGCAGATACAAAGATACTTTTGGAAGTTCTAGGGAATCCTGATGTGGTGCTGTGGGTTAATGCGCCAGACTGCAAAGCCATTTGAACTGCAAGATTGGTGGTTCAAGCCCACCAGCTGCTCCTCAGAAACCCTATACAGGGTTGCTATGGGTTGGAATCAACTCAATGGCATTTAACAGCAACAGCATATACATGTACTATATATGGACCTTGTTTTTATAGCTATTTATAGTGCAAAGTGATATAATTAGAAGTCTTCTATTAAGTATAGTCCACCTGGTTTTAATTCCTGTTTTTTTTTTTAATGTCCTATTTTGAGTCTGTAAGTTTATTTAAATTTACCCTTTTTAAACTTCCTTTTTATTATGATCTGGCTTTTGTGAAAGGATTTTTTTTTTTTTCTTATGCTATATTATTTTTATTTAAAAAAAATTTAGATGGCACTTAAAAACAGAAAATAATCTTAATATTAGTTTCAGGTGGTACTATTGAAATGGAAAGATTCATATTTTGGTTAATGTTTTAATAAAAATTTTTAATTGAGTTTAGAATGAAAATTTCTTAGACCACATCATCCACAGTTATGTTTCCAGTGTGGTTTTCAGTAATGAGTTTAGTCCAGCTTCAAACACTTAGAAAATGCATGTGTGCAAAATGGTTTCAAGACAGTTTACAATTCTATATTGATGCTCCCCCACATTTGTGGGTACAATTAGCAGTCAAACCTAGCTTTGGTGTTCAAAATTGAACATTATTATTAAATAAGAAGAAAATGTAGTATTTACCACTGATGATGACATATCAGAGTATTCATATGTAACCATGCCAAGACTTTCTTCCAAGACACCTCTGGGTGGACTTAAAACTAACCTTTAACCTTGTGGTTAGCAACTGAGCATGTTAACACTCTGTACCACCCAGGAATTAAAAAAAAAATAAAAATCCAAGACTCTTATTAAAAGTCCTAGAACAATAGGCCCCCTTAAGCTAAACTGAAATGTGAGGGCCTATTCTGAGAATGAATTGATATGGAAGAGTGATGCTTTGAAATCTGTAGCACTTTGACCTACGAGAGCAATAGCAAAAACCTAGCCCTGAGTCAAATATGACTGTAGAAGGTGTCTACCAATGCTGCATGAATTCTCCCAAAATGAATGCTTACGGAAATTATAAGACTTTTCCAATTTGAAAGTGAGAATTTTTTTTTTTTTTTTTTCTTTCAATAGCTCTGGATGAGCTTGGGAAGAATGTTACAATCTGTGTGCCTAATTTAGGCCAGGACCTGTACAGAGATGAGAATTTGGTTACTGGACTGGGCACCACTCTTCTGATTGCATGCATCTTGTATTCATGGTAAGTCTACGGAACTGTTTGAGGCTTTCTTTGTAGATTTAAAAAGTTGGGGAAAAGTTAAGTTTCTACAACTACAAAGCAGCAAAACAAATACCATCTGAGGGAGCAAAATTTCCAGAAATTAAAAAAAAAAAGAAAGTTTTACAGCATGAAACCTAGGTCTCAGGACTTCATGTACCTTCCTTGCATTTTACATGGGTAAGTAACATCAGTGTATGATGATGCTGAAGCTGCAGTGCCTAACACCCTCTAAAACGGGTGGGGAACCGTTTTTCAGCCACAATTTATAATGTGATTCATGGGCCATGCAAAATAATCAGTTTAAAAATTAGCCTGTTGTATTTGGTCAAACATTGAATTAACTCACCCCTAATTGGAGTCCTGGTGTGGCTCTGTGGGCTAATGCGTCACACAGCAAAGTCATTTGAATTGCAAGGTCAGTGGTTCAAGCTCACCATCTTCTCCTTGGTAACCTTATACAGGGTCGCTTTGGGTCGGAATTGACTCGATGGCACTTGACAACAACAACAACAGTGTGATGGTTGGAACTGCAGTTACCTTGGTACGGCCAGATCCAATGATTTCATGAGAGGACATTCCCCATTCCTGCTCTAAAAGATGGTTTGAAACAGTAACACTAGTGAGACACACACAACTTAAAATAATCAACCATATGAGATTTAAAAAACAAAAACAAAACTAAATGTTATTTGAATATTAGTTGCTAAAGTATTATAGGAGGAGGGATTGTATGTGGCAGAGTGTTTTGGCAACTTTCTAATCCCAGGGGAATAGCATTTGTTGTACTCAAGGAGGAAACGAGTACAAAGTCCCATATACACCATTGTTTTTGTTAACAGACCCAGAAAGGCAGGAAATATCCTTTCTCTTTTATGCTCAAACCCATGATTGTGGTGTATCATGGCAAGGCAGTTCTGCCCACACACACAGTAGGTGGGGCCTATGAGTATAGGCAGATTCATATATATGAGTATATATCAGGAGCTTATTGGCTGTGTGGGTTTTTTCTACCTTAAAAATATAAAAGATTGCTAAAGGGAAAAAGAAAGGAAGGGATACACGGTTAGTTATTTATTCTGGATATATATTTCGCTATTGATAAGTAAATTTCCCTCTGACAGTAACCTCTTCTCCGTTAGGATTTACTTCAGTGTTTTGTTAGCTATATTTTATAGTATTAAAAAAAATCAAACTCGTCATTGTTTGATGTAAAGTGCTATCGAGTTGGTTCTGACCCATAGAGACCCTGTATAGGGTTTCTGAAGAGCTGCTGGTGAACTTGAACTGTCAACCTTGCAGTTCAAACTGATTTTCCAATCCAGTGCATTAACCCACAGCACCACAGTATAATCTCACTTTTGCTGAAATGACACAATGCTGGGTGGTGATCGCTTATATAAATAAAATGTCTCTCTGAGTATTTTGACATTCTCATACAGCTTCCAACTCCTCCTATTGCCAGAGGGAGATGGCGGTAGGTGGTTGTGTGCCGTGGAGTAGGTTCCAACTCTTAATGACCCTGTATAGGGTTTCTGAGGATGTAAAACTTTATGGAAGCAAAAGGCCTCATATTGCTTGCTTGTGCTATAGGTTGTTGTTAAAAATGAATTTTGTATATAAAAATATGTGACTGACTCTCCTCTTTGCATCAGCGGACACTTTGGTGACCATGGCCTTTCATTGTTATAGTTTCCATAAATTGCTCACTTGCTTTGTCATTGCTAAGTGCCATCAAGTTGGTTCCGAGTAAGAAACCCAAGGAGCGGCTAGTGAGTTTGAACTGCCAATATTGTGGTTCAAACTGACCTTGTGGTCCAGTGCTTTGTCCCACAGTGCCACGCCAGGACTCCTACTATATATAGAGTCCTACCTCAATCATGGACTCAAACATGGTAACAGTAATGGCCTAGGATCTGGCAGTGTATCGTTCTGCTGTGCATCAGGTCGCTATGGGTCGGTGCCGACTCGATGGGACCTAACAACAATAACAACCTGGTGTGGTGCTGTAGGATAACCACTGGACTGGTAACTGCAACGTCAAGTGGTTCAAATCCACCAGCTATTCCTTGTAAACTCTATCAGGGTTGCTATGAGTCAGAACTGACTCCATGGCAATTAACAACAAAAACAAACATATATTAAGCGGGTGGGTGGGACTCTGTACATAATCAGTCCCAAGTCAGTGAATATTTTCAGAGAAACTATATAACCGCCAAAACTTGGACCCCTGATTCTCAAGCTCTTCCTTTCTCAAGTAAGCTTTTCCTTCCTGAGTCTGTTATTGTTAGACTTTAGGGTGAGAATGGCAGTAGCAAAGGCTAATCTCATGATTTGTCACACAGTTTTGTTCTGTGTTATTAACGTGGGAAAATGTGTGTAAATCAAGTGAGAGAAATGTAGCTTACTTAACTATATATACAAATAT